CCACTACTAGAAACAGAAAATGCTTTATACATAGTATAATTGATATGGTAAGCACATAGCAAACCCTTATACCACAGTATTTAATCTCAATTTTTACAAGCATAAATTTCATGTAGCTAAGGACTAAGGGGATGAAAACTGACAAGCTGAACCTGGAATCAAAGCCTACGATGAATAACTATATTTAGCTCCAACAATACAGAAAAAAATAGCAGCAGTGAAAAAAGTTCAGCAATTGATTCTAGTGAACAGCAAAAAAACAAGAGAAAAGACGCACCTGAGTAGTTTTCCCACAGCCAGTTTCACCAGCAATAAGAACAACCTGCATATAGAATAAGAAAAAATCATGAATCTTTCATAGGCAGTCGAAATCCCCCACTGAAAGCACACGTCCCAAATTCTGATATAGATGAACAAGAAACATATCTAAACAACCAAATAACCTGATTGGATTCCACTGCAGATATAATGGCATCCCTAAAAGATGCGATGGGAAGGTTTGCTCGTGCTTTATAGATCTGTAACATCATTCAAATACAAGGATATATCTTTAACTTGCATGCGTTATAACTTGTGAAACAGGATTCTGTAAAGAGAAGTATATTACAATAATTTGAAATTGCATTAACCTCTAACCTCCCCAAAACGCTTATCGTTTGCCAGTTTAGAACTCAGAAACGCCGCCTTACTTAGAATATCTTCTTTGCTCATATGAGGTTTGCAGAAGTAGTCATCTTTCCATTTCCGTTGATTACTCAAGTGCCCGGTATAAATGCCCAATGATATCCCTGTAGTATCTCCGTCACAAGGTGGATAGCGAGTAAACAAATCCTGCAAAACAGGTTTTGCCTCTGGTGGAAATGACACACATTTAAGCTTCTTATTAGACGATTTCTTCTTTCCTTCGCCGCTTCCTTTCTCCTCTTCGTTGGCATCTCTCTTCTTTATTTCTACACGTCTGAAAATCTGAAGACACCTTTGATCCCCACTCCTACAACAGTATACAAGAGAATCATAAACTTATGATTTCAAGTACTTCGCAATCCGAAACTATACCAATGTTAAGCTGTGACTAACCCGGAACTCTTTGATCGAAGTCCCATCTTTCGGCACATATTATGAATAATTCCACGGTCAATGTTTGTAAGACTAGTATCAAATGTGTGAGCTACACAAGATAAGCAAACACAATTACAATCAATCAACAAACAAAAAGAAGAGAACATTCCGAATAGAAATCACTGACTGTATATAAAAGCATTGCAAGTAGAGAGTATTAGTGTGATAATCGGAAAATAATCATTCCGGTGACAGAATCAAATCAAAAGAGTCGAATTGGTAACTCACAATCATTCCCGGAGGCGCAAAACTCCTCGAGGAACTTTCCCGCCCAAATCTGAGAGGATTCTGTACTTTGTTGCAGATACATCTTCTTCCCCATCGATTATTAGGGTTCTCTCTCTCTCGCTCGACACTATTGAGCAAGGACTGTGTAGAGAGAGGCTCTTTGATAAATGATGAGTTTCCTTCTGCTTCCTCCTTGCCCTATTTTCTTTTTTATGATTTTTTAAAAATAAAAATATTTATTCTTATGCCCAACTCCAAGTCTGGGTCTTTTGGGCCAATTCTACTGAAAGGCCCATAAGAAATGCGTATATCATGGTTGGATCCAAATCTCGCACGTGTCACGATCAAATCGAGTAATAAATTAATCAAACCTTTCACACGCGCTCACGAGATTCGTGATCGGATACACCCGCACGTACCTGATTCATTACCTCGCACCCTTTGGTTTCAAATTTCGAAAAAACGGCTTTCTCTCTCTCTCATTTTCTGCGTGTTTCTCGGGAAAATCTTCTCTTCCTGATTGAATTTAAGAGCTGTAGTTTTCTCTCTTTGGTCACTGATTCGCTCTTCAAGAAATCAAATGATATGAGACGCATGTTGATGAAGCCAAACCTAAGTCCCTTGTGCAGATCCGTTCTCAGATTTATCGATTTATCAGTTTGTAGAGCTATGGCTTGTTTTCTCGACTGCTTCCGAGGCAGAGACGACCGTTCTACTAGTAATCCCGTCTCTCACTCTTCACTCGCCAATTCCAATGTAATCCTTTCGCTTCTCTGGGGTTTTTCGGGTCTTCTCTTTGCATGATCGTGTTCGTTTTGGTGTTAATGTAGCTGTTACAAATAGATCCGTGAGCTGGGTTTTGAGTATGATGCATGTAATCTGTTGGATTCTGATTGCGAAAGATATCTGGCTCTCGTTTCTTTGCTTTTCTTGACCAAGATCTTATCGATCTGACTCTAAATTTGCCTCTCCCTAACATCTTCGATTTCTTATTTTATCTACAGAAAGCTCAGGAATCGCAGGATCATTTGTCAGCTTTGTTTCTGTCTGAGGGTAAATCTCTTTTTGATGTGTTTGTATCAGGAATAGATATGATTCTGTACCGTTCTTGCTAATATAAGGGTTTTGTTCTTGATTTTATAGAGAAAGCAGCTTCTTCGACCTGCCTTGTCAATGGAAGAATTGATTTGGATTCTATACATATTGATAAAGGCCTTAGAGATGAGGTATGATTATATTTTTAAGCATTGCCTCTGATCATGTGATTATATGAGCATCAAGATCTGTGCCGTTCTTGCAAGTCTTATGATTAGTACTGCCCTTCTTATGTAATGATGTGGTCTTTGGTTTGTTTCTGTAAGGAATGTGCTATAGATTCTAGAACCTTGAACA